TATTGGGGTTGCAATTGCAATGTTTGCCTAGGACACTAAAAGCACAGAAAAATAATTTAATCTGTGCCACAATAACTGTAATCATATTCTTCTTCATATAACGCCAAGAGCACAGGGCTAGAAACTCTAATCATTTGGGGCCACTACAGAAAAGCAAAGAAGATGCATTTTAGAGCCACTCACCCAGCCAATGCCTCCTGTAACTTTCTGTGAATCTGTTGATACATGTTAGTGTTGTATGTTGTCATCACATACTGCAGTCCCATGCGGAGGGCCTCTACACGTAGTGGTGGGCAGTGGTCAGCTACATATATCAGACGGTTAAGTTTGGCAAGTCCAGTGTAACTCGCTGCATAGGTGTCCAAGTCCTGGAATACAGGGTAAGATATCAGTGGTCATCTTTATGCTGAAATATATGATTACAAGTTATTTCATAATAAAAATAATAATTACAGACAAAATGGCAATGGCATACAACAACATTTATTTGCTGGGTACCTAACTCTTTTATAAACACTTTAAACTACGAGAAAGGATAAGCAAAGATACATGTTCTATCCATGATAACATTTCCATTCTTCATCTGGCTAACAGATTTACAAAGATATATTCAACATTAAACATTCCTCTGTAAGGTTAAATATTTTATCTACTGCTACAGCATCAAGCAGTCCAACTTATGTTTTTATACCTACCACTGTGCTTGACTCTGAAAGCTATAGATAAAGTTCTAGGTGAAAATGATATCAATTTTCTGCTCATGACTAACATTCATGAACTGCACCTCTTTGAAAAGTCTATGAATTTTGCCACATATTGAAATTCAATTTGGGATAATCTGTTCCCTCATCATCACAATATTACTTGGATAATAATTAATTGGCCAAATCCTTGCATACATCTAGCCTCCCATGAAGGTTTTCATGGAAAGTTAATGCCAGAAAACATGAATATGAATGCTGCTACCATTACATATGTTCCACCTAAATATATATATACTGTACATGTTGCCAAAATAATTATGCCTCGGATGCATATTCTACTGATAATTCTCCAAGTAGAATTAAACTTATTTTCAATGTGGAATGGACTATTCACACAAACCCTCAGCCTCTTATTTGTCAAGCGTAACAATTTGATATTCGTGCCTCCAATCCTTTTCTACTACCTCACTGCAGTTATTTATTGATTCGTATATACTATCTAAATGTATTTTGAAATGAAACATTGGTGAACAAACTTAAAATTTTCTTCTTTTCATTCTTGTTAATCACCAGACCTATTTTGGCAGATGAACCAAAAATGACATGACATATGTGTTATGGTTCCTAATGATGAATATTGCAGCTTTCAGTAACTAGGGTTACAGACAATCACTATCGGTCAAGCTTCTAGTGACCCCAACCCTCTGCCATCAGTTGTCCATTAAAAAGCACTATCACTAGTGTAGTGTTAACAAGCTTGACAGCAGTGATCCTTCTGATCACTTCCCAGCAGACACACATTGTATATATTTCAGCACACTTAGAAATAAAGTTAGTTGTTGTAGTTAAGTTCTTCTTGGAGTTGTTCCATGCGATTCTCCTCTCACACTGGTGTTAATTAACATCTATATCGAAGAACATAGAAACCATTTCAATATGTATGATAATAAATAATCTCACTTACAAGGGTGGTGTTCTCAACCACATACGGCTGCTCTTCTTCAATGTTTTCATTTTCCTCTGGAGCATCTACCTGCATAGGCTCAATGGAAGCAGCCTGCTGAAAGTAAATTTTTAAATAAAAAACTCTTGATGTCGTGTGATGTTAATTTTTAACAAATTCAAACCAGCAGCTTATCATTATTGTCAAACACATAGTAGCAACTAGACTTTGAAGGTGGCACTAATAGTTCATTTTTGCAAAGTACAATAAAAAGTGTCCAATTAGTATCAGATTATGTCCATTTTTATACTGCATACTGCTTCCCAACTACTGCGTAACAAATTGACATACATGAAAACAAAACTAAGATCAGCTGGCACTTCCTTGTAGGCAATGTATTAACAATCTAGAAAAGGTCTAGAGTGAAAGATTTGAAGGGCACATTTTAAATTGAATTTATGAAGTCAGGAATGGGCACCAAGACTTAAAATAGATATTATGCAAAAGAGCGAAGACTAGCATTTCAGTTGTATAAACATTCAATATAAATGCCCAGTTCCTATACTTATTGTGTAACAAATTTCAAGTATCTGTAACAATATTTAGGGACTGAAAATCAAGTTAGGCAACTTTTTCCCCTCATTTCTGCAAACGACGTTTTAAAGACCGGCAAACATGGTGTCACTGACTGAATGCCTTTTGATCTAAATGGGATAACTCAAAACTATGATAGTCTATTCAAACTGTGACTATCTGTGAACCATATTTCAAGCCTACAGCATTAATAATATCAGGAAAAGGCGTGTGGACTGAAAGATCAAAGAGAATGACAAGACATGATGTAGAAGTAAAACAACATGCAATCGCCAGAAAATTACCCAAAATAATACAATTTGCAGTCGTTGATCAAGTTAAGAATTATTACTGAAATTATATATTTTCATTTTAAACTGTTTTAAAGAGAAATACCTGGAAAATCGCCTGTTGAACTGCAGCAAGCGGCATTGTCACAGACCGGAAGTCAATGGCCACGTTACTGCGCATTCTCGAGAAGAGCTCTTTTGCATAGAAAGGTATAAATTAGCAAATGCGGGAAAAATACACGTGCAATCTTGGTGAGGTAAACAAGTTAACTTGATTGTGGTTTTCGAGTTTTTGAGACATGTTTACCATCTTTGATTATACATCTTTAATGTATTGTATAAATGACAAACATTTGTCGCTACAAGTATTGTAATTCAGTAATAACTGCCCTACTGGTTGGATAACAAATTGTGTACACGTACATGTACATGTATATCGGATAGTCCGTTGCGGCTTGCCTCAGTTTTCGACCTAGTTGCATGCTAGGTACTTGCCGTAGCATGTGTAAGACCGATAATTGAGGCAAGTGTATCCCCTACTTTTTGGTCTTTCCTTGCTATGGTAGTGCAAGTAGTGATTAGCTGTAGATGAGGCAGACGAGACACTTGTCTATTCTCATACATCATCAGATTTGTTTCGGTTCACCGTTTTGTTGATACGTTTTCGTCCGGTGTGGCATGAATCGTTCGGAGCATGTACCATCCGTTCTGCTCAAGCTCACAAAGTGCAGGCAAATCTGAGAGACTTCCGGCGTGTACAGTCCGTCTCTATCGACTTAAATAAATATACACTGTTGAGAACATACTGCAAATTCAAACATAATCTTTAGAAATATTAATATCTTATAGATGTTCACCTGTACTCTCTCAGGTGGCCATATCAACACACTAGCCAAGTAAAATCAATACAATAATACATGTAGTACTAGGCCAACAGCTGAATAACGATGGCCCGTCCATGGTAGTTTCATCCAAGTGTCGAACAGTAATTTGACGCTAATTCTCTATCAAAATTATCAATTAAAATTTCTGTATTAACACATGAATTTTACCTAGAAATATCCCAACTATAGTAAATATATAATGAGGTGGGAAACGATCAAGCTACGTTAATGCACAGGTGAATAACAATGGATCATTCACGGAACGGTTCATACACGCGTCTGCTGCATGTACAATCGGTCAGGACCGATGGTTCACGCAGAACGGATTGTACATGTGACACCGGCCCAGACCTCCAGCTCCAGTTTACCTCTTCCGTATGCCTCAGTTTTTTGCCAGTAAAAAAATTGAGAAAACTTCTGTCCACTTTACGGGTATTGGTTGAATTAGGAGCATGTATATGTAAGTATTAAATAGTTTTTTAGGATAACGATAAACAAATGAAAGCACCCATGCATACCATTCATTTTCATTCTTTTTATCCAGATCTGTACAATATAAAACCAACAGGATGGTAGCAAATAAACTTTTAACCTTGGTTCTGATTCGACAGTGCAATAGAGTGCTACTTGGTTATAAGAAGAAGGGGTTTGGAGTGGGCAGATGGAATGGGTTTGGTGGCAAAGTAGAGCAAGGAGAGACAATACAACAAGCTGCAGCGAGGTAATTTTCACACATATTGACTATGCCATGGTTTATAACCTGAGGCATATTTTTGTTTTTGTTATCAGAGTAAAAGAATAGTTGTCTTAAGTATGAACACTTTTCCATAGCTTTATTTAGAATAACATTTGTCATGGATTTTTTGTCTGTATAATATAAATGATAATTAATTCAGATTTAAGTGAAAACCATACAAAATATGCATTATTTCTGTCATTTTAAAAAATCATTAGTAGTCAGCATTTATCCAATAATGGGCAAAGTTTTATAGCCCATTCCCCAAATTATTTACAGAATTATCCTTGATTTAAGAGGCAATGTGACCTATACAGATGCACTAATGCATTCAGATACATGCATTTACAGTTAATTCCAACGTATTTATAGTGGGTTGATGGTTGGATTATTTTTAAAACCTGGGGCTATTACAATTTTTTCAGGCTGTGAGATTTCAAAGTGTGTTTTGATACATTTACCCCCCACCCCCTCCCCCCCTTTCTCTCAATTTATAAATTTTGGTTTCACATTTAGAGAACTCCACGAAGAATGTGGAGTGGAAGCTCACTCACTGGAGGAAATAGGGCTCCTGAAGTTTGAATTTGTTGGTGATCCACAGTGGTTGGAAGTTCATGTTTTTACAGCAGATACTTTTAAAGGAGAACCTACAGAGTCTGAAGGTAATTTGAATGATTTGGATTACACTTCTCTGTTTTGACTATGTATTCAGTGATTTTCTACATCATCCTGATTATATATACACAGATATCAGTTTGAAATTAGTTAAATTTTTTTGAACATGTTAAAATTTAGTCAATACCTGATTTTTGAGAAAAGCAGATATTCTTAATCTCAAAATTAATACAATACTCTTTTCAGAAATGAGGCCCCAGTGGTACAATATTCACAGTATCCCATTCAATGACATGTGGCCAGATGACAAATATTGGTTCCCAATCTTCTTGAAAGGAGCAAAATTTTCAGGATATTTCAAGTTTGAAGGACATAATAATATATTGAAAACTGAGCTTAAAGAGGTTGAGAAACTACACTACAATGATTATGAACATTTCAAACTGAATGGAATAGTATGACTGTAAATATGTAACTGGATATTGAAGTTATTTTATTAGAACAAACCATGTCGAAGCTTGTGAAATATTTTACTTGTGCTGCACATTTGTATTCATTTGGCATGGAAGCCGTTTTAAAAAGATTTATACTTGGTTCCTGCTAAAATAGTGCTCTAATGCCTTTGTCAATCAGGTATCAGCCGTGCCTTTAATAAACCTTTTGTTTCATCACTGGCAAAGCTCTGGGATCTTTTTGTCATGGATATACACATAAGAACCCTTGAATTATTGATCAACCCGGTTCTTTGCGAAAGAATCAATATTTGTACATTTACAATGGTTCTCTCAACACATCCTATTTTAATGGATACATTTATTCATACATTCATATAAGATATATCTTTGTACTGTGAAATATTCAACATTCCCTTGGTCTGATATAATAACTTTGTTAAATAAAAGTTTAGAAATCTGGTTTCGCCAACAGGATTACTGCTTATATTTGTAAAATAATTCGTCTTTGACCAGGATTAGTAATTTCATTATTGAAAAAGTGTGTAATGTACCTTGTGTTAAAAACACGGATTATTTACAAATGATTTTAGGTTATTCAAGACATATGCTCCATGCATTGTCGTTAAAAGGATGTTCACNTAGTTACTATTGAACTTGAATAGAAAGTCATATACTGGCAATCTAAATGTGACCTTGAAATTGACCTTTGACCTACTTTTCACCATGAACTGAATTTTGCAAATTTTGCTTCCCTTTTATCTCCAAAACTGGCTGAGATAGGTCCATAGTTACTATTGAAGTTGAATAGGAAGTCCTATACTGGCAATCTAAGTGTGACCTTGAAATTGACCTTTGACCTACTTTTTATCATGAACTGAACTCTGCTAATTTCTTTCTCTTTTAACTTCAAACTTGACAGAGATAGGTCCATAGTTACTCTTGAACTTGAATAGGAAGTCATATACTGGCAATTTACTGTGACCTTGAAATTGACCCTTGACCTACCTTACGAAGAACTTAAATTTGATTGTACCATATATATTTTTTGCAATAGTTAAAAAATTCTTGTTGATTGCATTTTTACAGCTTGTCAAGCTCTAAACTGGTGGCTGTGTCCCTTATTTTGTGTATGTGGGGGTCTATACGAATGCGTTCGCTCCAGCTGGTGGTACAATATTTGGAGGCGGTATCGCCTCTCTGATCCTCTAGTTTACAAATGATTTTAGGTTATTCAAGACATATGCTCCATGCATTGTCGTTAAAAGGATGTTCACTTGTTAGACATATTGCTTTTATCCATTCATTTAATACTGGCACCCTGTTTTTGTGGAATTTTATCAGTGCCAAACATAAGCTGGTAAGAAATACACAGATGGAAATGAAATGGAAAAATAGCTCTTATTAATAATATCAATGTAACTTTTTGAAAATATAAAAAAAGATACATTTTAAGGTATATAATTTTTGTGAATAACCAGAATATGCATAATAATTATTAATTTAATATCCTAAAGGATCGTTTGAAATGCGTCTCCAGTCTGGGAAAGATATGGAATATGGAATACTTGTATCATAAACCAGGTGTAAATGGCAAATGAAAAGGAAAAAGTGAAATTATAAGATTTATAATGCAAATCTTTCTGAATAATAGTGCAATAGTTATGGTCTTTATCATACATGCATAAAAGTGCTTATCAAATATCTATTTTACTGTTTTGGGGTAAATGTTCTTACAAAACTTAGCATGGTTTTTCATGAAAAAAGTTGTTAAGAATAAATGTTGATTTAACACATGCTTACAAATAACTAAATTGACAAGTGATTGGGAGTCATACAGGAAATAAAAGAAAAGGTTATGTCCATCATTATACATGAAAGAAGCTACAATAAATCAATAACAAAAAAATGACAAAATGATATCATTGATATATCTTATTTATAATAAGATATATCTTTGTAGTATGAAATATTCAAAATCCCCTTGGTCTGATATAACTTTGAAGTCTGGTTTTGCCAACAGGATTGTATTTTGTCACTAGATTTCAGGGGTACATATTTTTAATATTTACATATATGAAAGAAATTACCACCAGCTGTGCACAGTAAGACATTGCAATGAACGAAAGTAATAAAAAAGCATTAAAATTAACACATTTATGCATCAATTGATTAACACATAAGCAAAAATATTTATTTCATTATGTTTATGTCTGTATTTTTAACTGGATCTGCGTTCCATGTTTAACAGCTCTGCACTGTAAAAAAGTTTTGAAACTGATACTGGTCTTTTTTTCTTTTTTTTTTTTCTTTTTTCTTTTTTATGTTTATCATTGTACGACGTCTGAAGAATACCAGTAAATGCTCGAGGGCCATCTTTTGAGAGCATTCTAATTTTAACAGTTTGATTTTTGTGTAATACTATATAATGTTATGTTTTTACAAAGCTTTATAATTCTAGTTATATTAGAAATTCAATGAATAGCAATAACGTTTGGTGCATGTACCGTAGCGTTAGCGCACTTACTCCCTAGGGATCAGTCTGTAAACTCAGTCAATTTCGTTCGTCAAGTACTGTTTTTTGTGCAACTATTTATCATAACTGGGCCATTTTTATTCTTTTTTATTATATTAATATTTTTGTAAATAAAATCTTAGAAAATTTGGGAAGATTAAATTCCGTCTAACACACACCGACCTTCAGTGAAGTTGTTTGAGGATAGGTGTGATGTGACTAGCTGTCACTAGGTGTGCGGGTACAAAGACACGAGCGGTGATGCCAATTTTTGAATGTGCTGTAGACGTTTGACTTTTTTCTTGCGGAGATTAGTACAGTAGACTATTTTTGTAGTACAGTAATCCAGTCGATATATGTCAAAGGCATTTATGACAGTACAACAGTAGAGAAGTCGCTTACATGTAGTTTTCTCAATGACGATGTGAAACATGATTTAGAACATGAGAAAGTGAGATATCTGTGTGTCGATAGAGAGAGAGGCGCCTACATGTATATTAACCTTTACGCTTTTGCATAATAAGATGCATTAAAACGCGGGTACGACATGAGAATGATTTTAATATACTACATTTGCGGTCGCGCTAATAGCGAGGGTTTTTTCGCTACCCGCGAAAACCACTTTTTTGTCGGCTTTTTTGTTTCCCGAGATGCGTGAAACGTGAAGCACCCCATTCACATGACTCGTGGATGCGCCCTTTTATTCTCCACCCTTCGTAAAACAGTCAGTATACCTGGTGATTTGTGATTTTGAGGATTTTCGACGTGCATTATCAGTGAGATGTAAATTAAATGTGATTTTTGAATTGGTGATTTTATTTCCCTTGAATTGTGATTACTACCCCACCCCTCCCCCTCCCCATAGCCGGTTCCACACTGAAAAAGTCAAATTTGTGTTATAAAATTCAGTTGATTATTTGGGCGTCCTTTGAAAATAGTTTTGAACAAAGTGTCATTTTCTTAGGCAATATTATCAGGATCTCATTTTGGCATCTATTTTGTCAGGGCAAATGACCTACTTTTCTTTTGACCAATCAGTCATTTGATAGTAACAGCGATATCTATTGGACCAAAGTTTATCTGATCCGAATTCACCAGACGACGATCGCAAGTGAATAGAAATGTTGCCCGCCAAGTTGATTTTTGCTGTCATAGCCGTTCTCTTGCTTTTTTTTCTTAAAGTAGAGACCTTCTTCTATATTTCATTTCCAGAAGTTTTCATGTTGGTATTAATTGCGATTCCCCTTGGGACACTTTTCATGTTGTGAGAGCAGTTGAGCAGGTATGCAGTAGGTCTTCGTCCCATAAAGCTTATTCTTGCAAGTCTAAAGAATGTACACAGCTGAAGATTAGATTGCATAAATCCTAAATTTTGATCAGGTTTTGCTTATTTGTCTACGGAGTTTACATATTTCTGTTTTTAAGAATGACAAATTCTCCTTATCACTGTGTTCCTGGCACACCAAGTCTTGGTGAACAGTATCAAGTACATCCAACATTTGGGGTAGTTCCCACAATACAGAATAATAACCAGGGATATTCTAAAATTCCAGGTAAAATGAAGTAGTTTAATGTTATTTCATAAAAGTTTAGATATTAGTGTAAGGTTAGCAGAGTTTAATCATTACAGAATTTATCCTGAAATATTTTCGTACATTTAATACTTAAACACACACACACACACACACACACACACACACACACACTAGAAGAGAATATGGTTTTGTTTCTTCTGTAAAAGAAAGCTTTTATATTTCATTCATTTTTATGAAACTTTTTGCTGTGAATGTTTAGAATTTCTATTTTTTGTTTTATTATATCTACCTGTGAAATATGTGCTATGGTTTAAATTCAGTGGAAAGAGCATCTGCCCCAAGAACACCAAGCATGAATGAAGTTCTGCATCAGCAGAGAATGACTGTCACACCACTTATTACCATGAGTAAGCATACCTATGAACTACCCCTTTCACCACCACTCCTCATCTGGTAATACCCCCTTTACACTGGACGGCGTCCTTTCTGCGACCATGAAATTTGGCATCCCTGTGGTCTTAATAAGGAGACACAAGCATCGATTTTGTATCAGAATGAATGCTCAATGATCGGCCAGTTGTCGGCCGTAAAGTATTATAATTTTTTTAACTCTCAAATGGGGCCGTACTGCTGGACGCAGAAAGGACGCCGTTCAGTGTAAAGGGGGCTTAACACACGTGTTTATCATTTCATCTCACACATACAGCTTAGGAACATGACTGAAAACAACAGTTCATTCTGTTAAAAACAGATTTCCTTAGCATGCATCAGCTTTTTTGTAGTACTTATCCAAAAAATCTGTATGTGCCTCTTTGGCAAAAATATAGATAAAGGAATAGGAGAAGATTAAAGCCTACAAAAGTAGGTTAATGTTCTCTCAGTGAATGAAATTTATTTTGAAATTTTCATTTTCTTTTTTCAACACTTTTATTTGTTAATTTTATGACATTGTACAGCTTATGCTAAATGTCTTACAATTTGTAGGAAATGGAATTACAAGCATGCAGCAAGCAGATTCAAAACTCAAAAGAGGAAAAGGAAAGCCCACAAATGAAGGTAAATTTGTAACTTTTGTCTGCTAACATGCTGTGATTCTGTATGCAATTCATATTGAAAGAAAAAATTCAATCACATATATTTTAAGATTTTAATAATGCCTTATGCCTAATGATTATATTTAACTTTATCAAACACATTTTGAAATTCAGGTGACCAGACTGTTCCAGCAACTCCTGAGGATTTGAGAAGAAGAGGTCTTTTCTCAGCAGAATCTCAGGATGAAGAAATATCACAGGCTTCTTTATCAATCAGAATTTCAGTTCACTCCAAAATAAGTCCAGGCATTAAAAGACAACAAGTCCAGCAGGCAAGGTTACAAAGACTTGGCAGCTCCTCGGGCTCCTCTCCAAACAATGGATATGAAAATCTAAATGGGAGAAATGAATTAGTTCTTTCAAACTCTATAAATCAAACAGAGGAAGCCCCAGGAAAAAATTCAGTTGAAGATGATATATTTTGTTGATTTGGAATGATGTTTTTGTCTGTCCATTACAATTGGAGTAGATGAGCTAGCTGTCTCTAGTTTCACAATTTATTTGATATGAGATTGTTTAACTGCTAAGCTCTTCTCAGTGCATTAGGTGTGTATGAAGTGAGAAACAGTTGTGCTTGTATCAACAGGATTTGACACATTTGGGTAAACCACCTGTAGAGTCACAAATTATGCACACTTCTCTTCATAATGACCACTGTATTGTAATTTGTACCACTTGAAATCTGTCAGACTTGGTAATTATAAACAATTGTCAAGCAGTCAGACAGTCTGATTACTGCATGATAGAATATATATAAAGCAGCTTCCAGGATCTGTATTCCCATTTCTTTTCATCATGGACACTGATACTGTTTGGAAAGTATTTCTGCTTGCTGTGCGATGTGCTGTTACAATTTCAAATAGCTTTGCTCTGCCTTTGGATCAGTCTACTCCATCTACCAGTGAGATGGAAGAATATTCTGGGGAAGAGAACAACCAGAATTCAAACGCTGACATGATGCTGAATGATGGTGCAGTTCCCAGTCTTGCTCAAGTTTTTAGGAATTCTTTCACCAGTTATCCCACAGGTGATTTTACCATACTGCAAAACATTGGAAAAGATCACATTTTATGTCACCTTTAAGATTTTTCTCTTTCTTAATGAAACACTTAAGTATAAACTTATTGTATAATTAAAATAATTGTTTTTACAAAGAGTCAAGAATTCACTGAACTCGGAGTAAAGATATGTTAGAAATTCCATAAGCTAATAACTAAAAATGAAAATTCATAATTTCAGGTATTCACACTAAAGTAGTATACACTACTTCAATTCATCACAGAATCAAAATGCAAGTAAAGCGTAGGATATTTCGACATTCACAAATATTATATGCTGCCTTAAAAGTATACAAATATGGTTCGAGGCCAAGTGAAAGAAGAATGTTCCCTCGACAAGCCAGAGTGAGTTTATACCTCATCAAGGATAAAGCAGTCATGCCACTTGATTCAAGGTAATATAATTTATTACAGTAATATTTTGATCTTAAATTACACTTCTGAGCTTTTTGCACTGTTGCAGTATATTTTATACATACTTTATTAAGTAAATGTGGATGGATTTTGTCTTCCTTTTTAGATGTCATTTCGAAATCATAATGCCACAAAGCTAGGAAAAATGACATCCCAACACTCGTTTATCTAGTAATGTGCTTTTTTCTTTTTCAAAATATGTAAAATATTTAACTTAAGGAGCCATCTTTACAAGATTTTTTTTTTCTTTTCAGATTGGTGAACATCCATACCTCTGAATGGCTGCAGTTTGATGCCACGGAAGCTGTATCTTTATTTGTACATCAACCACACCTCTTCAAGGGACTAGAAGTTAGAGTGAATAGCATACGCCCTGGGGTTCATGCTGCTAGAGCTGCAAGACAAGTTCATCTTGTAACAGATGAAAAACACAACAGGAAGAGACACAGACCATTCTTTGTAGTTTACTTTAGTCACAAAAAAGGTAACAATTGAAGGAAACACTGCAGAGTCATACCCTATACCAGGGCGACAGATTGATTTTCCACAGATATTCACAGATGTGTCTATAGATAAATAGACAGTCATTTTGGCTCTTAGTCGCCTCAGCAAAAAATGTCCACAATAATAACTGTGGCCCTGGTAGAGGTTAGCAGAGTCATAAGTCTGGCATGCCTGTTATATTTGGCTTAAGGAACCTGATTTTACTGTCTAGTCCATCATAAGCTAAAATGTATTTGTAAGGTTGCAACTTGCACCATCTTTCTAGCTAATAAGGCATAGATTTACTACAGCATTCAGCATCCCCCCCCCCCCCCTCCAAACACTGTATAACCAGTTATCATGCCAAGATATAATAAGTCTGCAGAAAAAATGGAATGCTTTTATTTATTTGAGCACATTTGTAGAGAGCAAATGATTGGTTGAGTTACAAATAAAAATTGTTAATTTTTAATTAATCCTGTTATTTCTGCTGTATCCGTGTGGCAGTAATGTTAGAAGTATGTGTGTGAGTTAAGACATTATAAAAGAAATAAAGATCCTTAAATTTGGACTTCTACATTAATGATTGATGTCCAACATTAATGATTGATGAACTGAAAACTGCTTTATATAAGACAAAAATTAATATTGAATGACTTGAGACATTCACAAGTTCACATCTGGACTAACACATATGGGAAAGAACTGGTTATATGTGATGTGCCGAGCACCATGAACACAATTTATACCCAAATTTCCTTTGCTGAAAAGAGCAAATAAATTTTCTATCATTCTAATAAAAAATGTTGCACCTACAAAATTTTGTGAATCTAAAATTATTTAAGATAAAATCAAAGCAGTTAACTAAAACAATTTTATTCCACTTACTTTCCCAAATGAATACATACATAACAGCAAAAAAGTCAATGGCATTTTTTTTCCAATTGTGCAACCATTTTGTCAAAAAACTCCAAAAATAGTCAGCTGTGAAAAGCTTCACAACAAATAAAAAAATACAATATTTGTAATACATAATTGCTTGTTACTGAACAGGCTGTGAGATTGCCATTTTTGTTGGCAAACTAGTTTTCACATTTGCTTGTGCATTGCATATATCTTTTTAAAAACTGGGCAACAATAATAAAAATGACAATTTAACAATCAATATATATATATTTGAAGCTGTAACTGTTGTGTTAAGATGAGTTTTCCTTGCATACATACGGTTTCATTTTACAATTGTCATTTTGATTGTTCTTGCAGTGTTTTGTTCCGGATGTTATCAAATGTAAAAAGGCTGAATTGTTCCATCCAGTTTAATTTATATAATGCATATTCATCCCTGCTTTCTTAACTTTATTTCTGACATTTTAGTTTGTTTAAATATGAAAAGATCAACTTTCCTAAATCAGTTCACCTAACTGATGTCATAGCGATATAAAAGTGCTGCCTTTCTCACTGCAGGAAACTCGGTTTAGCCAGGTCACCGTATTTTTCATTGCGAAAAACAGTTTAAACCACAGTCCCACATTTTGCTAAGGTCCAAGGCATCCCTATAAGTCAAAATCTCTAAAATGTATCACAACTGTATTATTATAAAATTAATGGGTCAGATGTATCATTTAACTTCAAAGGAGATGGTCAGACAGTGGTCTCTCTGTTAGTATAGCCAGACGTCTCCGACCATGCTCTTTAATTATAATTTAATCATAAGTCATCCTCCTACCTGTAATTTAGTTCATTGTTAATTGTTCTTTGTTCAAATAGGCTATATAACCTGTGTGTATTCTCTGAGAAGGGAAGACTGGACGTGGCCACACCAGACAGCTGAACAAGCTGACTGGAGGTCCCAGCTCTCAACCAGGAATAAACCGGACTTTGTGGAAATATATTCTAAGTCTTGCTTATTTATTCTTGGACCATGTCGCGGTGGATCTGATCCCCAAACCCGCCGTGATAACTGTTGGAGAACCTGTGGGCATTTCAACTTCCCCAGTACCTCACAGAACAAAGATGGAAAGACTTGGGAGACAAAATATCTTACCAGCAGATATTTTTAATATTCTACTGGAAGTCGACCAAGTACCATCAATGTACAGCGTGAGTAAGGTGGGTGAAGAACTATTCATTACCCTGAAGTGGAAAACAGACCCAAGGACACCGAAAATGATGAGCAGTGAGGTCAACACCCTCTCAGCAATGAAAGTAGAGAAGAAAAAGACACCATCTAGAATAAGGAGATATAAACAGAGAAAACAAAAATGGCTGGAAGAGAGAGAAATGAGAAGGGCTGTTCCTTTATCTGAAGAAACCGTAGACACAAGTAAGTTACCTGTGACAGAAGAAAATAGTATTTCAAAAATCAATATCCGGACCGATTTACCATTCAAAGAGTGTGAAAATTTGGCTGATGTTATAGACTTATCTGCAACCTCCAAAACAGAACTGCAACTATTACAAGGTGAGTGCCATAAACTTACTAAAGAGGCCCAAAGGAAAGAATCACAGTTGGACCAGAACCTAAAAACCATGCAGAGTTTGGAAAGCACAATTTCAAAAAGAGAATCGAGGATAAATATGTTAGAAGAAACAGTGTGCAAATCTGAAGAAGATCTGAAAAGATTCAGCAATGTTATAATAAATCATGGACTTGGCACCCTTGTGATAGACAACACCTTGAAATTTAAAAAGGACAAAACAATAGATGACATCATACATATATATCTTATAACTTTCAACACTGCAAAGAACAATGCCAAACTATATTGTGAAATTTATGATGAAAATTAATTGTTGCAAAAGAAAATCCAAAAACTGAACAAAGAATTGGGGCACAAACAACGAGGAAATCACAGAAACTCTGATCAAAGAGGAAAAGGCAAAAGACATCTTTATAACAATTATTAAATCTTGGCTTGTTTAATGAGAAACTGATAAGTTCTTGTTTAAACCTGGTGTGGTCTCTCTCTTCTTAAATCTTCTCTTTTGACCTGTAGGCCTATTTTTTCTAGCTGGCTTTAGTTGAGAAGCTGGTCAAGCCTTTATTTCTCCTATTCTCCACCTTCAGAGCCACACGGGTGAGAGCAGGGACATACTTAGTTAAACACTGTAATAACTTCTTACTCATATTTGTATTTTTAATTATATTGTTTGTCTATGCTCAACTTTTGCACTAAAATTTTGATATGTGTTGTATCTGTGTAAATTTAACTTGTTTCAGATAGACTAGTCTAAGAACTTATGTAATAATTTTTATGAAAATGTAAACTTACATTGTTCCATGAATATGACTGCTGTTATCTACAAAATGTTTTAGAGTGACATATTTTGTTTGAAAGGATAAGTAGATATGTTGGTGCTGAAGTAGTGTTTGTTGACAGGCGAATGTAAGGGCACGTACATGTAGCATACCGATAGAAGGGGCAATGCAGAAAGAGGTTCAAGTCTGCAAGGCTACAATGTTGCTGCCTGCAACTGATCCTATAGGGAGACAGACACATTTTAAATTCATGTTGTAAGCGAAATATGTAATGCAGCACATGTAGTGAGTAAAGTGTAACATTTGCATATATATATGTAATCTTTGTTGCATTAAGTTCAGACTAAGTTCTACAAACTATGTTTGAGTACATGATACTGAATAAGATATATCATTTAAATATTGTTTAATTTTAAAATTTGAAGCACAAATTTTGCCAACCAAGGGAGATCTATCACAACTGTATTATTATAAAATTAATGGGTCAGATGTATCATTTAACTTCAAAGGAGATGGTCAGACAGTGGTCTCTCTGTTAGTATAGCCAGACGTCTCCGACCATGCTCTTTAATTATAATTTAATCATAAGTCATCCTCCTACCTGTAATTTAGTTCATTGTTAATTGTTCTTTGTTCAAATAGGCTATATAACTTGTATGTATTCTCTGAGAAGGGAAGACTGGACGTGGCCACACCAGACAGCTGAACAAGCTGACTGGAGGTCCCAGCTCTCAACCAGGAATAAACCGTACTTTGTGGAAATATATTCTAAGTCTTGCTTATTTATTCTTGGACCATGTCGCGGTGGATCTGATCCCCAAACCCGCCGTGATAAATGATTTCCACAATAAGACTGTCATCCTTGGCTTCACATGTCGCTCTGCTCATATATTAAACATTATTTATAAATTGTATACTCAATATCCTCTGAAATAAATGCTGCTATATTGCTAATGCAAGGCTGACAGGCAGGAAAGTCAGTTTTATGCTCTTAACTCTTCTGGACAGTCTGGTTGTCTGCTTGGATCAGCTGCTTTGAAAGCCTCGTGCTTGTACAGCTCTTCAACAATTCTGCTGATTATTGGAAACTTCGTCATGTCTACTTTAAATCTGAAATAAAGAAGGGAGATCAGTTTGAAAACTGGATTAAAAAACTAATTTTTTATATTTGTTCTTGTTCAATTTAATGCTTTTTAGGTCTTATTTGCATATTTTTTTCAATGAATGTATTAGAAGAAACCCCTATATGCCATCTCAAGTCTTGAAAAAACAATGTCTCACATTACAATTTAAAGAACAGCCATCTCCTCCTTATTATAAACAGTGATGAACCAAGTAGCCTCCAAGTATATCAAAATTAATCTCAGAATAACCAACAAGAAACTGGAATTTCCCCCTATGGAATGTAATTTGATCTCTGACTCACTGGTGCTAAATTTTTAACACACTAATCTAAACCTATTAGTGCTTCGAGAAGCTTTGCAGGCTAAATAATGCACGTTATCATCAGAGGTCTGTCCTAAAATATTTACCGGTTTGCATTAAAAATTTGAGGCCCCAAAGCCACATCAGCAATTGTTATTTCATCTCCAATGCAGTACTTTCCAGCAGTCTTTTCAAGGACTTTTTCCAATCCTGGAAATAATGAGAATTATGTGTCAGATGATCAAAATCATTCAGTGACTACGGTAGTGCTAAGCAGCACCTGGTTTGTAAATATTTGAGAAATTCCAAAGTGATTTTCCTGTTTTTGTTAATTTTTATTTATCTTCTTTTTCTCGTTTTAAATTAAATAAAAAGGATTCTTGTATAAAAATAAGGCAAGTTTTATAATGGATAAACATTGGTTAAAATACCATAAACATTCGAAATCCTGCACACAGGTTCTTAATGGCAAAAACTGATGAAAGAATCAATTTTTGATGCATTGCTTTGAAAGAAATGAATAAAGTGGCTAGAGTCGGACACTGCTCAACGAAAAGCATAAAAAAGTCCAATCTATCAGACTACTTTATACCAAAAATGTGCAGCTTTAAAGAATTTAACAGTTATCAAATTCTCACAAACTATTTTATAAATTCAATTTTCAGTGAATATCTGGAAAGCTTAATCTACCTGTAAACCAAATAAAGAATGGAAAAAAATTATACTGACACAATGACAATAAGTTAAGTTTCTTGATGAAGTCTAATGGATATACGTAGATAAAATGATGGGGCTCATACCTTATAGAAGTGTCCATTTAATAATAAAAATCGATTTTCATTTTTTACTGAAACTACAAGTTGATTTAAAATATGCATTTTGCTACCTGTAAAACCTCTATCAATCCAAATTCTTGCCCACTCTCCTTTCTTGTCATTACCACACCACTCTCCAACCACTGCTTGCACTGCCAAATTTGACAAAGGCTGAGTAAATGCATTAATTATCTCAGCTATTTGTCTTGCCTGTTGAAAAAGTAACATAGAAGCAGAGTTCAAGCATCATGCATAAAAATCACACCATAATTACCATGAGCTTCATAACATAAATGTGCCCACTCCTTCACATTCAAATTTCCACATCAGTAAGGTACTTCCATAAACAGGCATATGTGAAAATTTGAAAATGAAGAGGCTGTCCTGCACTGGATCTGAAGCTCTAGCTCACTATAATTCATCTACCTGTAAAACCTTTATCAATCCATATTCCTGCCCATTTTTCCTTTTTATCCTCACCGCACCATTCTCCTACCAGGCCCAGCACTGTTGAGTTTGACAAGGGCTGGGTAAAGGCATTAATTGTCTCAGCTGTCTGTCTTGCCTGTTAAAATACTTAACATTTATTAGAATGTTCTTACACCAGCAATAACTTTTTGTTTTCCTGATAAACACAGCATGTTTTTTCAAATTGTAAAAAAGGTATATATTGGTGATTAAATACAATACAATATCCCATAGTTTTATACAGCAAATAATTGAATTTTCCTAGACATTTCTACACATTACTCTTAATCAGCAAAGCATGCCATATCCAGAATGATCCACAATCCTGTTTTTCAGTTTCTAGGTTTTGAGTCTCTCATTATAATATAGGTAGAAACTGGTGAATTTCACTTGCGATGATAAAAAATTAGGAATCAAAACCTTAAAAACCGGACTGAACACAGATTGCAATTTTCTCATTGGTTTTACATGTATATATTGTATATCATAGTGATACAGAAAAAATTGATGATTTTTTTTCAGGAAAACATGCATACAATGCACATGAAACCTATAGGACAAAAAAAAAAAACTGAAATTTCAAAGAAAATGAAACTTCAGTTTTATGAAGGTTTAACCCTCATTGCATGCCTTCAAAGATGTAAATATCACTACCTGGAGGCTGAAGATTTCTTTAGACTTAAATCAGTTAACAGAATTTCATAAATATCTTATAACTACCTGAGTTCGCATTCTCATCAATTTTAACAAAATTGTTTCAGTCTGAATATCGTGCATCAGGCTCTTGAATACAACCCCTACTTTGTAATCATTCTCTTATCACTGAGTTAGACAATATGACATAGCACAGTTACACTGTTGCATTTTAAAACACTACATCAAATACATGTGGTAACTCTGATGTTTTTTGTTCACTTTTTTCAAATGGGTTTATAGAAAGTAATTCTGTTCAATACCCGAGTTACAACAATCATGCCTTCATCAAAAATCTACTGGCCCATCCATCATACATAACATACATTACTGCTCATTGTGCTGCCTGGAGTTTTAACAAATCCAATGAGAACACAGCATGTAGCTTTATAATTTTGAACCTTCTGGTTCTTCAAATCAGTTTCTGTGCTATCAGAAAAACAAAATTCTATACCTTTGCACGCAACACTGGGTCTTTAGGAAGCAGTGGTGGATTAGGTCTTGTTTCCTCCAAATATTCTATAATAGGCAACTGGAAATTTGAAAAAAAAAATGAAAAACCACTTTAGGTTGAATATGGAAAAATTAATTAAGAGCAGTAACATACACTGTACAACATGTTTAATTTAACAGACCAGTCATGACATCTCAATTAAGAACTGTTATCTTCACAAACCATCTAATAATGATTTTTGGCCATCCCAACAAATAGGTAAGGCATGTGTAACCTACAAAGGGTGTAGCAGGACAACAGAAGGATTAAATTGATCCTCTTTATATGGTTAGCAAGCATGATAACAGGGTATGTCAAGACAGTAAAGCACTAAGTTCAATCCTCATTAATGGACAGAAAATGGATCTTATGCAAGGGTGTCAACATTTGATTACAGAACTCAAAATATGTTGGCCTTTTATTACCTCAGTCAATTAAGGCAGTTTTCATGAGCATTGGTTTGTCTTAGTGTCTTTTTTTTTAGTGGACAAAATTTTTCATGTGACCATAAAAGATGCATGTTAAAGTTTAAATGAACAACTGCCTCAACCAACAGAACCAAGTACAGGAAGAATTATCAACATACAGACTGTGTTAAAGTGGCTCCATCTATGATCAAGCAAGGCACCTGCTGCAGGGGATTAAGGGCTGTATATTCCGCAGACTTCTGCTGTCCACCATCTTTTATAAGGCTGATTGGTCTCGATTCATATTCCAACCCTTTGTATGCCAGTGCTTTATAGTGCAAGATTAAAATGTATTACAATAAATTCAGTTGTGACAGATACTGTGAAAGTCATGAAGCTAATATTTTACATTTCAAGATCAAAATGAAAGTTACATGAAAACTTGGTAGCAAAAAATGTTAAAGTCAAAGTATATATTTACTAGCTGTGTGACAGTCTGTGCCAAAGACTTTTGGCTCTTCAGGACACCAAGGATTGGCCCAAAGAAGAAAAAAACCTGGTCATGCAACTATTTCACTTATAATTTAATTAAAACTACTAACTTTACAAATCTACTAATCCTGCTACAATATTTGGTACTATAAAGGCATTCAGTATGGTACATGACAGCTGTTAACATACATTACAAAAATTAACAGGTGTCACACAAATTCTAAAATCACTTCTCTCTCTCTCATTCTCTCTCTCGCTCTCTCAATCTCTCTTTTGAGAACACACACACACACACTTTCATTTCTCTCACCCTTATCCCGTGTGTGTGTGTGTGTGTGTGTGTGTGTGTGTGTGTGTGGACTCGTCCCATATCTTGATTTTCAAACTTGGTCATATTTGATAGTAACCCTTTTCCACACAACAAGGCAATAAAGCTGTAAAATGAAATATCACTTACCAACTCTTACTCGCCATGAAGCAGAGCTTCGGAAGTAAGTATATAATATTGGCTGAAAATATATTCATAAATATTTATAAAGATTATATACACCACCAAATGAATAACATGTATACGTACATAGAGTACATGTTTGCTTAATGAGGAGATTCAAAATTGATGCACAGAAATAAAGTTAGAAAATTTCAAAATTACAGGCACTACGGGTTTGTCCACAGTCACAACTGGTAACTTTAATATAATGGTATACAGTATGAGTCTGTTCAGAATAAAGTTATCGCACCAGCAGGCTCGATCTATCTCTGCAGGGATTCTTGCTAAAGTGCAGTCAGTGTAATCAGTTTATTGTATGACACCCCCTCGAGAAGCAAGGGGTAATTAACCATTGTGCGCAAAAACGGAGCGACCACCTCTCCCCTACTCTAAAAAGTTATAATTATCCCCTAGCTTCTCGAGGGGGCGTGCCAGACAATTAAGCTTATTACAATGAGTGTTCTTTAGCAGGAATCCCCGCAGAGGTAGGTCGATCCTGCTAGTAAAAATTTTTTTTTTCTGAACGCAACCTATTATATACATGTACTGTACTCTATTGTAGTGCTTGACCTGAAAATTAAAGGCTTGTGCCAGGGCATTTACTTCATTAACTACACCTGAATATTGAAAAACTTAATGTATCTCAAGATTTTAAAGGGTATGCAAAAATACAGACGGTCATATAAATGATATACAACTGCAGATACAGAAAATGAGCAAGCGTTAGGCATTGCTTACCCTTGCCATGACTTGGAAGACGCATTTAGTAGGGCATTGTGTTTGTTGCGACGCAAATGGATAGCACATCAAACGCATTCTTAACAAGGAAAAATGCACCGAGAGCTTCCAAGTTCAAAAGTATCTATTTCGCATCTTCATACCCTTTCGGAAATGATATTATCATTGTCTTTCCTTTTGGAATGTTAAATTTCTTTGATGTGTATACGTGCTTTCACACTGCTATATAGTTGGTTTTTACAGCAAGTGCTTTTAACTGGTGCGGGACAGTTGTTGACCTTGGCAACGCCATTTTGACTACTTCAGCGACAGCTATCTCCTACATGTAGATCTCCATGCCTTAGGAAACGATTAAGGTAGAATTTAATGATTAAAATATTTGAAAATTGCAAAGGATTTTGAACTAGTCAAAACTAGGATCGTGCATCAAATAAATTTATATTTGGCCTTTATAAAATCGGTGCTATTTGGTCTTCATCTGGTCAATACACAATTTTTTATCAACCAATTTATAATACATTGCATTCAAGTTACGTTGGTTTTTGAGTTGCAGTTTGGATGTTTGAATTCTTGCATTTATGATGTGTCAGTGTGATGGCTCATTAGTTCGAAGGCTCATTTTTAAAAAAGTTTTTAAATAAGATTAAGAGCAAAGGTTTATTTAGAACGAGATGCATGTGTAAGCACTTCTTTTGATGTGGTAAGTATATATCAAAAATCGTCAACAGGACTATTAATGCTTGAATTTTTTGCTAAGGTTAATTGGTCTGAAAGCTGATTTAAAAGACACTCTGTTTTATTGCATATTGCTTGTAAAACGTGTTTCTGTTTTCTTTAATTATCTTCTAAGACAGAAAGATTTTGCTATTCAGCCATAGAGCCAATGACTCTTTAAATTAAATAAACTTTGTACCATGGATCATTCAGACCTTTTGAATTTATTACTGTCTTATTCACATTTTCTTTTTACAAATGCAGCAAATATTTCTATATTGCAACAGATACACAATGGGAAAATGAGTACAGACGTGATGTATCAGTCACCGCCTCGCCTGGAAGCTTGGGCTGGACAATCTTTACCTCCCAGTGGCCTCAGAAGTAAAACACCTTCACCCAAAGGCAGCAGGAAACTTGACAGACCTAAGTAAGCCAGTCTGCTAAACATATTTATACTCAGTACAAAACATGAACATGTTAAACATGTGATTACTTTAAATACACGTGCTGATTGGAGAGCCATAATTTTCATATTTTATGGACAGCCAGTCTTTATAGTTGGTCAGTTATCAATAATTTTCTTATTGACGTCACTTGTTGGATTTGACCTTGTATTCAGTCTCAGATATGTGTTTGTGTGTTATTAAACATCCGATTGTTTCTTATTTTTCATTGTTATTTTTATTATTTCTTATTTATTGTATTATTTTTTGATATTTTTATTATATATATAAAAAATCAACATTTTAGATCCAGTCCAAGCCATCTAAAAGTAACATTCAGTCCATCAGTGTCTCCAGAGCCTCCTCAACCAGCTAGACCTACAACAGCTGCTGGAGCCATCTCAGGATACGAGTAAGTGGCAGTATATACTGTAGATGTTGCGTTTTCTTATTCAGGATAAATAAAATAAAAGGGCTTTATTTCTATGGAAACTTGGAGAAAGTTTTTTTCTTTTGTAGAGCATTTTAAGGAAATTTTCAAAAAAATCTACAGAACACATCATTGCTTTTTATTTTCTGCCATCTATTTTTAATATATATTGTGTTTATAGATGTGACCGCCTGTATCAAGTAGAACATGAAGCAACAAGGAAACACAAGTTTGAGAATCACTTTGGACCCAAAAAAGGGAAACCGCCCCCTTGGCAAAAAAATCTGGATGTAAGTTTAGAGGACAGAATTTAGTTGCATAGGACAAGTGACAAGATAAGTTGTAGCTAAATAGATGATTAAGTTGTGATTACTTGCAATGTAACCTTGACTTAGATTAAATTTAGACTTCAGTCTTGTAGTGTGCCTGTAGCATATGGTTTATTTGCATAGAAATATAGATAGAATTTAGCTGTGTGTTGCTTTGAAGCATGTCTGAAAGCCAGACCAAAATAACTTTATTCAACAAATGATATTTGACTTCAGCCTTTGCCAAAACCTGTCAGACACATTGTTATTGAAGAGGTAAAATTTGAGAGTTGCAATGATTTCTTGTGTGGTATAGACTATTGTTTTTCCCTTCTCTTTGATACATATACACACTGTACAAAGGCAACTCTCCACTACCAGACCCATCTGTGTTAAATAATAAAAAAGAAGCTGTTAAACCCCCGCTTCCTTAAATGGCCTTCAATGCTTGTGTTATTAGAATTATGAAGTTGTGTTATTTGCTCTGAGCTCTATCTGTTGTTATTAGCATTTTTTTCACATTATCAGATTTTTGGATATGATTGATATGAATGTGCTATTCAGTAAATTTTCCTATTTGACCTCTTTTGCTTTACTTTTTAGAAATTAGCTATAGGACACTTGGTAGGGTAGTGTTTTAATGTTTGTTTTAGATTTATTATTTTTATGTGGTTCCCTTGACTATTGTTTTGCATTGATAAACTTTCCCATTGCCCTAGGGGCATCCCAAATATATGTGATAAATTTGTACAAATATTAAGGACAGAAAATAATGAAAATGTTTGGAGTATGTAAATATATATTTTCATGCATCAAATAGAAGAATGCTACAATGTAATGTGCTGAAATATATTCCACCTTACCTACAGTGGATCATTTGTAAATTGTAAAAAGGTCAGGAGGCCTATTTACTATAATACTAAGTAAACACATATAATATACAATGCACAAATGTGACTTCCCTCCACCATACCCAACTGTGATAGAATAAGATAAAAGAAAAGTTACTGTTAACCCCTCCCCCTTTCCTTGAATGGTCCTCAGTGCATAAGAATTATGAAGTTATGATATTTGCTCTGAGCTCTGTCTATTGTTATTGGCATTTTATTTTCACTTCATCAGTTTGTTTTTGTAGTTGATATGGATGTGCTTTTTAGATTTTTTTTTCATTTTTACCTTTTGGTGTTATCTGTAGCACACCTGACCTGTTGGTGGCAGAGCTTTGCCATTTCTTTTAGATTTATTTTTATATGGTTCCCCATGATTGTTTACTGTTCTGGATGAATAACCTTTCCCACTGCCTTCAGGACTTTCCTAGTTGCTGTTGACACTTGAGGTGGACATTTGCAAGCAACTTATTTATAAAATTAAATTAAACTAAAAAAAAAACAAAATTAGAAGCAAAAGCTTGCTTTAATTTGTTGTAATATTTTATGCAGCCAATTATTTTTATTATCTTTTTTTTAATTAGAATATTTTATAAGGTTATTTGATCTTTATTTATTCTAATTATTTTCAGACACCCATGGTTCCCTATTCAACAGGACCTGGTTATACCATGTCAAAGAGTAAAAATAAACTGGCAGTTACATTGAAAATGGATGACTTCTTTAATCCTAGACCAGAAGAAAAACAGGCACAAAAGTAAGTTGTTTTGTCTATAGAATTTACTAATTGAATATATTGATTGAATATATTTTCTTGATAACTGAGGTCAGCAAAGGTTGAAATATAAATGCTATTGATACTTGTAGTTCTTAAGGATGGTTCTGTGCAACCACTACTTTCCTTAAAAAAAGAGAAAAACAGATAATGATTATTTTCAGTTTTTGCATGATTTTAGATTTTTGCATTATCTACATGTAGTTACATTTTGAGTTTGTTTTAGTGAGTCCTTGTTTTCCACTTTTCTGGAGTTTACTTTTATTATTTGTTGTGCTTTATTTCTCTTCTCTGTCAGGAAAACTGCAATCCTGCAGGATTCACATAGGTAAGAATAAAATTTTATTCTACATTTCTTCTGCTTTTGTTAGAGTGAAAATTGTGAACAATGCAGAAAAAGCTGTCCGGATGTTTTATCTATGTTCCATCCACTTTCCAAATGTTTATCTATATTTTTACAATCCTATGTACAGTCCCTTTGAAAACTATACAAATTGAACACAAAGCAAACACTTACATATAAAATAAACCTTAGATTATTACTGGTTGTTAAGTGAAATGATATACATGTAAAATACAGCCCATCCCTATTGTTGTGTAATGTGGTGTTTATTAAGTCACGTAAGTTTCTAGAAGTGAGTAAATGACACAATTTTTTAATCTTATCATAAAATCCTTATATATATATATATTTTTTTTTTGTTTATCTCAGAGAGGAATTTGTCAGGCAGCTTCAGCAGCAAATAGAAGATCTGACTTTATATTTAGAGGAAGAACGCCTAAACCACAGACATACCAAAGATAAGGTAATAGTTTTATTTGTTATCCAGAGATCAGAATGCTATTATATGTTAAAAATTATGTGACCAGAGTTTCTTTTTTTCTTTTTTCGTTAAGAAATATGCTTGAAGATAAAAAACAAGATCTTACTGTGGATTGGGCTATTAGCAATAAGTATCACAGCTGGCCATTTTCACAAACTATTTAATAAATGTATAAAACTCTGGCCTTATTTCTATTTCAGGCAGCTCAAAATCTTCAGACAAAAGTCAAGGACATGAACCAGGAGCAGGAGGAACATGTGAGGTGAGAATTAAAACAGCCCATGAATGGTAATTTACATCAAGGCTACAATATAAATAGATAGTGGACATTTTGTGAGACTTGAGTGTCACATCTGATGTGTAACAGATTTTTCTGCAAATCTACAGTAAAGTAATATAAGGCATATATAAGTGTTAAGCAAGCACAAACATACATCTGAAAATATAAAAAGCAGGATCTGAAACTGAGGGTATATAGAGTATATTAAAAGCCAAAACCATCTCATAATAGGTACTGTGACACTGAAACTGTCTGTCATTAAAATGAGACAAAAATATTTCAATCTAGTATTGCAAATACAGGTTTCAAATGAACAATTTTTATGGCAATTACTGATAAATCAGAAGAAATTTGATTACTTACATTTTCCTTAACAATGTTTTTATACTTATACCTGCAAATGATAATTCAAAAGTTCCAAAATGTTAATTAAGGTCTCTAAGAAAAAAATTGGTATTGATAATTTGTGAGGTTTTATCATAGTGAGCCGCTGCACTCCAGCACCAAAAACGTTCATTTGTGTAAGTTGCCAGGTTGCAAATGTTTTCAAGACAAACACGTGTTTTTGTCTTCAAAGGGAATTAGAAGCAGAACACCAGGAGCAGATGAAGAGAATGAAAGCAAGCTTTGACATCACTATGGCAGAGTACAAAAGTTCAACTGAAGCTACAATATGTAAGTGCCAAATATGGTATTGGTTGGGTAAACTATAGGGGCCAACTTATGTTTGATCGTAGGGTATGATGAAAAGTATGTTCAGACTTTGTTCCAACTTACACCAGAAATCATCCAAGGACCTTATTGCTTAATTAATGTTGAATTAATTTTTTAATCTGATTGGAGGGACTGTAGTCTATTCATTTTGTGATGTCAGCTACACAATTTCTTGCTTTAAGTTAGATCAGGTCTGAATGCACCTGAATGCTGATTTCTCCATTCACAGTAATTGTCATTATTGCAGCTATGTTAATTTAATACTTAACAAAATGGTAATTGGTTAGCAAAATTGATAAAATTATCTATCCCCAATTATTCATATGCTTTACTGAACGGATTTTGTTTTTATTTAAGCTCGAATGAAAGGAGAAATAGAATTCCTGCATGGTTCATTTGAGTCCTTTAAAAGCTCCCTCACTCAAGAAATGAACACCAAGTGGAAGAGAAAAGAAGAGGAAATAGAGTACAAACACAAAGAGAATATCCAGAGTCATGTTCATGAAATGAGTAAGTAATATGAAACAATGCATTTTTTTTATATTGGAAAATGTTCAAAATTTATAAAGATGAGATCATCATAGCACAAGTGTTGGGCAAGTCTTGTATTTCAAAGTATGGCAAGTGGTTAACTTACTGAATTGTTGTAGACATATGCAATTTTTATATATTTCACTCATATCATACTTTATATTTTAACAGAACTGAAGATGATTCAGGAAAAGAATGCAGAAAAAGCCACACTTACCAAAGAATTCCAAAAACAGTTATCTACTCTTCAAAAGGAACACAAAAAAGAACTGGATGTAAGATTTCTTAACATTGCTCAAATTCATTAATGCNCATAAAAACTAATTTTTTATATTTGTTCTTGTTCAATTTAATGCTTTTTAGGTCTTATTTGCATATTTTTTTCAATGAATGTATAAGAAGAAACTCCTATATGCCATCTTCTCAAGTCTTAAAAACAATGTCTCACATTACAATTAAAGAACAGCCATCTCCTCCTTATTATAAACAGTGATGAACCAAGTAGCCTCCAAGTATATCAAAATTGATCTCAGAATAACCAACAAGAAACTGAAATTTCCCCCTATGGAATATAATTTGGTCTCCGACTCACTGGTGCTAAATTTTTAACACACTAATCTAAACCTATTAGTGCTTCGAGAAGCTTTGCAGGCAAAATAATGCACGTTATCATCAGAAGTCTGTTCTTAAATATTTACCGGTTTGCATTAAAAATTTGAGGCCCCAAAGCCACATCAGCAATTGTTATTTCATCTCCAATGCAGTACTTTCCTGCAGTCTTTTCAAGGACTTTTTCCAATCCTGGAAATAATGAGAATTATGTGTCAGATGATCAAAATCATTCAGTGACTACAGTAGTGCTAAGCAGCACCTGATTTGTAAATATTTGAGGACTTCCAAAGTAATTTTACTGTTTTTGTTATTTATTATCTATCTTATTTTTCTCATTTTAAATTTAAAAAAAAAGGACTCTTTTTTTCTTTTTGTATCAAAATAAAGCAAGTTTTATAATGGATAAACATTGGATAAAATCTCATAAACATTCGAAATCCTGCACACAGGTTCTTAATGGCAAAACTGATGAAAGAATCAATTTTTGATGCATTGCTTTGAAAGAAATGAATAAAGTGGCTAGAGTCAGACACTGCTCAAGGAAAAGCATAAAAAAGTCCAATCTATCAGACTACTTTATACCAAAAATGTGCAGCTTTAAAGAATTTAACAGTAATCAAATTCTCACAAACTATTTTATAAATTCAATTTACAGTGAATATCTGAAAAGCTTAATCTACCTGTAAACCAAATAAAGAATGAAAACAAAATTATACTGACACAATGACAATAAGTTAAGTTTCCTGATGAAGTCTAATGGATATACATAGATAAATTGGTGGGGCTCATACCTTATAGAAGTGTCCACTTAATAATAAAAATTGATTTTCATTTTTTACTGAAACTACAAGTTGATTTAAAATATGCATTTTGCTACCTGTAAAACCTCTATCAATCCAAATTCTTGCCCACTCTCCTTTCTTGTCATTACCACACCACTCTCCAACCACTGCTTGCACTGCCAAATTTGACAAAGGCTGAGTAAATGCATTAATTATCTCAGCTATTTGTCTTGCCTGTTGAAAAAGTAACATAGAAGCAGAGTTCAAGCATCATGCATAAAAATCACACCATAATTACCATGAGCTTCATAACATAAATGTGCCCACTCCTTCACATTCAAATTTCCATATCAGTAAGGTACTTCCAATAAACAGGCATATGTGAAAATTTGAAAATGAAGAAGCTGTCCTGCACTGGATCTGAAGCTCTAGCTCACTATAATTCATCTACCTGTAAAACCTTTATCAATCCATATTCCTGCCCATTTTTCCTTTTTATCCTCACCGCACCATTCTCCTACCAGGCCCAGCACTGTTGAGTTTGACAAGGGCTGGGTAAAGGCATTAATTGTCTCAGCTGTCTGTCTTGCCTGTTAAAATACTTTACATTTATTAGAATGTTCTTACACCAGCAATAACTTTTTGTTTTCCTGATAAACACAACGTTTTTTCAAATTGTAAAAAAGGTATATATTGGTGATTAAATACAATACAATATCCCATAGTTTTATACAGCAAATAATTGAATTTTCCTAGACATTTCTACACATTTCTCTTAATCAGCAAAGTATGCCATATCCAGAATGATCCACAATCCTGTTTTTCAGTTTCTAGGTTTTGAGTCTCTCATAATAATACAGGTAGAAACTGGTGAATTTCACTTGCGATGATAAAAAAATTAGGAATCAAAACCTCAATAACCGGACTGAACACAGATTGCAATTTTCTCATTGGTTTTACATGTATATATTGTATATCATAGTGATACAGAAAAAATTGATGATTTTTTTTTTTCAGGAAAACATGCATGCAATGCACATGAAACCTATAGGACAAAAAAAAATTGAAATTTCAAGGAAAATTAAACTTCAGTTTTATGAAGGTTTAACCCTCATTGCATGCCTTCAAAGATGTAAATATCACTACCTGGAGGCTGAAGATTTCTTTAGACTTAAATCAGTTAACAGAATTTCATAAATATCTTATAACTATCTGAGTTCGCGTTCTCATCAATTTTAACAAAATTGTTTCAGTCTGAATTTTGTGCATCAGGCTCTTGAATACAACCCCCACTTTGTAATCATTCTCTTATCACTGAGTTAGACAAGATGACATAGCACAGTTACACTGTTGCATTTTAAAAACACTACATCAAATACATGTGGTAACTCTGATGTTTTTTGTTCACTTTTTTCAAATGGGTTTATAGAAAGTAATTCTGTTCAATACCTGAGTTACAACAATCATGCCTTCATCAAAAATCTACTGGCCCATCCATCATACATAACATACATTACTGCTCATTGTGCTGCCTGGAGTTTTAACAAATCCAATGAGAACACAGCATGTAGCTTTATAATTTTGAAACTTCTGGTTCTTCAAATCAGTTTCTATGTGCTATCAGAAAAACAAAATTCTATACCTTTGCACGCAGCACTGGGTCTTTAGGAAGCAGTGGTGGATTAGGTCTTGTTTCTTCCAAATATTCTATAATAGGCAACTGGAAATTTGAAAAAAAAATGAAAAAACACTTTAGGTTGAATATGGAAAAATTAATTAAGAGCAGTAACATACACTGTAAAACATTTTTAATTTAACAGACCAGTCATGACATCTCAATTAAGAACTGTTATCTTCACAAACCATCTAATAATGATTTTTGGCCATCCCAACAAATAGGTAAGGCATGTGTAACCTACAAAGGGTATAGCAGGACAACAGAAGGATTAAATTGATCCTCTTTATATGGTTAGCAAGCATGATAACAGGGTATGTCAAGACAGTAAAGCACTAAGTTCAATCCTCATTAATGGACTGAAAATGGATCTTATGCAAGGGTGTCAACATTTGATTACAGAACTCAAAATATGTTGGCCTTTTATTACCTCAGTCAATTAAGGCAGTTTTCATGAGCATTGGTTTGTCTTAGTGTCTTTTTTTTAGTGGACAAAATTTTTCATGTGACCATAAAAGATGCATGTTAAAGTTTAAATGAACAACTGCCTCAACCAACAAAACCAAGTACAGGAAGAATTATCAACATACAGACTGTGTTAAAGTGGCTCCATCTATGATCAAGCAAGGCACCTGCTGCAGGGGATTAAGGGCTGTATATTCCGCAGACTTCTGCTGTCCACCATCTTTTATAAGGCTGATTGGTCTCGATTCATATTCCAACCCTTTGTATGCCAGTGCTTTATAGTGCAAGATTAAAATCTATTACAATAAATTCAGTTGTGACAGATACTGTGAAAGTCATGAAGCTAATATTTTATATTTCAAGATCAAAATGAAAATTACATGAAATCTTGGTAGCAAAAAATGTTAAAGTCAAAATATATATTTACTAGCTGTGTGACAGTCTGTACCAAAGACTTTTGGCTCTTCAGGCCACCAAGGATTGGGCCAAAAAAGACACCAAGAAAAAAAAACAGTGGTCATGCAACTATTTTACTTATAATTCAATTAAAACTAATAACTTTACAAATCTACTAATCCTGCTAAAATATTTGGTACTATAAAGGCATTTGGTATGGTACATGACAGCTGTTAACATACATTACAAAAATTAACTAGTGTCACACAAATTCTAAAATCACTTTTCTCTCTCTCTCTCTTTTAATTGAGAACATACACACACACCGTCAATTCTCTCACCCTCATCCCCTGTGTGTGTGTGTGTGTGTGAGTTTGTGTGGACTCGTCCCATATCTTGATTTTCAAATTTGGTCATATTTGATAGTAATCCTTTTCCACACAACAAGGCAATAAAGCTGCAAAATGAAATATCACTTACCAACTCTTACTCGCCATGAAGCAGAGCTTCGGAAGTAAGTATATAATATTGGCTGAAAATATATTTATAAATAATTATAGAGATTATATTATACACCACCAAATGAATAACAATGTACACATACATAGAGTACATGTTTGCTTAATGAGGAGATTCAAAATTGATGCACAGAAATAAAGTTAGAAGATTTCAAAATTACATGCACTAAGGGTTTGTCCACAGCCACAACTGGTAACTTTAATATAATGGTATAACAGTATGAGAGTGTTCAGAGTAAAGTTATCATACCAGCAGGCTCGATCTATCTCTGCAGGGATTCTTGCTAAAGTGCAGTGTAATCAGTTTATTGTCTGACGCCCCCTCGAGTAATTAACCATTGTGCGCAAAAAAGAAGCGACCACCTCTCCCTTACCCTAATTACCCCCTAGCTTCTCGAGGGGGCGTGCCAGACAATTAAGCTGATTACAATGAGTGCTCTTTAGCAGGAATCCCTGAAGAGGTAGGTCGATCCTGCTAGTAAGATAATTTTTATTCTATGTACATGTACTCTATTACTAGTTGTAGTACTTGACCTGAAAATTAAAGGCTTGTGCCAGGGCATTCACTTCATTAACTACACCTGAATATTGAAAAAATTTAATGTATCTCAAGATTTTAAAGAGTATGCAAAAATACAGACGGTTACATAAATGATATACTACCGCAGATACAGAAAACGAGAAAGCGTTAGGCATTGCTTACCCTTGCCATGACTTGGAAGACGCATTTAATAGGGCATTGTGTTTGTTGCGACGCAAATGGATAGCACATCAAGTGCATTCTTAACAAGAAAAAATGCACCGAGAGCTTCCATATGTTCAAAAGTATCTATTTCGCATCTTCATACCTTTTCGGAAATGATATTGTCACTGTCTTTCCTTTTGGAATGCTAAATTTCTTTGATGTGTATAAGTGCTTTCACACTGCTATAGTTTGTTTTAACAGCAAGTGCTTTTAATTTGTGCGGGACAGTTGTTGACCTTGGCAACGCCATTTTGACTACTTCAGCGACAGCTATCTCCTACATGTAGATCTCCATGCCGTAGGAAACGATTCAGGTAGAATTTAATGATAAAATGTTTTTGATAATTAAAAAGAATTTTGAACATCCTTAGTCAAAACTAGGATCGTGCATTAAATAAATTTATATTTGCCCTTTATAAAATCGGTGCTATTTGGTCTTCATCTGGTCAACTTTATTTAGAACGAGATGCATGTGTAAGCACGTCTTTTGATGTGGCAAGTATATATCAAAATTCGTCAACGGGACTATTAATGCTTGAATTTTTTGCTAAGGTTAATTGGTCTGAAAGCTGATTTAAAAGACACTCTGTTTTATTGCATTGCTTGTAAAACCTGTTTCTGCATGTTTTCTTTATCTTTTAAGATAGTATAATTTTGCTATTCAGCCATAGAGCCATTAACTCTTTAAATTAAATAAAATTTGTACCATGGAACATATTACTATCTTATTAACATTTTCTTTTTTATTACTATCTTATTAACATTTTTTTACAAATGCAGCAAATATTTCTATATTGCAACAGGTACAAAATGGGAAAATGAGTACAGACGTGATGTATCAGTCACCGCCTCGCCTGGAAGCTTGGGCTGGACAATCTTTACCACCCAGTGGCCTCAGAAGTAAAACACCTTCACCCAAAGGCAGCAGGAAACTTGACAGACCTAAGTAAGCCAGTCTGCTAAACATATTTATACTCAGTACAAAACATGAACATGTTAAACATGTGATTACTTTAAATACACATGCTGATTGGAGAGCCATAATTTTCATATTTTATGGACAGCCAGTCTTTATAGTTGGTCAGTTATCAGTAATTTTCTTATTGATGTCACTTGTTGGATTTGACCTTGTATTCAGTCTCAGATATGTGTTTGTGTGTTATTAAATATCCGATTGTTTCTTATTTTTCATTGTTATTTTTTATTATTTCTTATTTATTGTATTTTTTTTTATATTCTTATTATGTATATAAAAAATCAACATTTTTAGATCCAGTCCAAGCCATCTAAAAGTAACATTCAGTCCATCAGTGTCTCCAGAACCTCCTCAACCAGCTAGACCTACAACAGCTGCTGGAGCCATCTCAGGATACGAGTAAGTGGCAGTATATACTGTAGATGTTGCGTTTTCTTACTCAGGATAAAGGGCTTTATTTCTATGGAAACTTGGAGAAAGTTTTTTTCTTTTGTAGAGCATTTTAAGGACATTTTCAAAAAAATCTACAGAATACATCATTGCTTTTTATTTTCTGCCATTTATTTTTAATATATATTGTGTTTATAGATGTGACCGCCTGTATCAAGTAGAACATGAAGCAACAAGGAAACACAAGTTTGAGAATCACTTTGGACCCAAAAAAGGGAAACCGCCCCCTTGGCAAAAAAATCTGGATGTAAGTTTAGAGGACAGAATTTAGTTGCTCAGGACAAGTGACAAGATAAGTTGTAGCTAAAAAGATGCTTAAGTTGTGATTACTTGCAATGTAACCTTGACTTAGATTAAATTTAGACTTCAGTTTTGTAGTGTGCCTGTAGCATATGGTTTATTTGCATAGAAATATAGATAGAATTTAGCTGTGTGTTGCTATGAAGCATGTCTGAAAGCCACACCAAAAATAACTTTATTCAACAAATGATATTTGACTTCAGCCTTTGCCAAAACCTGTCAGACACATTGTTATTGAAGAGGTAAAATTTGAAAGTTGCAATGATTTCTTGTGTGGTATAGACTATTTTTTTCCCTTCTCTTTGATACATATACACACTATACAAAGGCAACTCTCCACTACCAGACCCATCTGTGTTAAATAATAAAAAAGAAGCTGTTAAACCCCTGCTTCCTTAAATGGCCCTCAATGCTTGTGTTATTAGAATTATGAAGTTGTGTTATTTGCTCTGAGCTCTATCTGTTGTTATTGGCATTTTTTTTCACATCATCAGATTTTTGGATATGATTGATATGAATGTGCTATTCAGTAAATTTTCCTATTTTACCTCTTTTGCTTTACTTTCTAGAAATTAGCTATAGGACACTTGGTAGGGTAGTGTTTTAATGTTTGTTTTAGATTTATTATTTTTATGTGGTTCCCTTGACTATTGTTTTGCATTGATAAATTTTCCCATTGCCCTAGGGGCATCCCAAATATATATGATAAATTTGTAAAAATATTAAGGACAGAAAATAATGAAAATGTTTGGAGTATGTAAATATATATTTTCATGCGTCAAATAGAAGAATGCTACAATGTAATGTGCTGAAATATATTCCACCTTACCTACGGTGGATCATTTGTAAATTGTAAAAAGGGTGGAAGGCCTATTTACTATAATACTAAGTAAACACATGTAATATACAATGTACAAATGTGACTTCCCTCTACCATACCCTACTGTGATAGAATAAGATAAAAGAAAAGTTACTGTTACCCCCCCCCCCCCCCTTCCTTGAATGGTCCTCAGTGCATAAGAATTATGTTATTATTTGCAAGTTATGTTATTTGCTCTGAGTTCTGTCTATTGTTATTGGCATTTTATTTTCACTTCATCAGTTTGTTTTTGTAGTTGATATGGATGTGCTTTTTAGATTTTTTTTTATTTTTACCTTTTGGTGTTATCTGTAGCACACCTGACCTGGTGGTGGCAGAGCTTTGCCATTTCTTTTAAATTTATTTTTATATGGTTCCCCATGATTGTTTACTGTTCTGGATGAATAACCTTTCCCACTGCCCTCAGGACTTTCCTAGTTACTGTTGACACTTGAGGTGGACATTTGCAAGCAACTTATTTATAAAATTAAATTAAACTAAAAAAAAAAACACAAAATTAGAGGCAAAACCTTGCTTTAATATGTTGTAATATTTTATGCAGCCAATAATTATTATTATTATCTTTTTTTTAATTAGAATATTTTATAAGGTTATTTGATCTTTATTTATTCTAATTATTTTCAGACACCCATGGTTCCCTATTCAACAGGACCTGGTTATACCATGTCAAAGAGTAAAAATAAACTGGCAGTTACATTGAAAATGGATGACTTCTTTAATCCTAGACCAGAAGAAAAACAGGCACAAAAGTAAGTTGTTTTGTCTATAGAATTTACTAATTGAATATATTGATTGAATATATTTTCTTGATAACTGAGGTCAGCAAAGGTTGAAATATAAATGCTATTGATACTTGTAGTTCTTAAGGATGGTTCTGTGCAACCACTACTTTCCTTAAAAAAAGAGAAAAACAGATAATGATTATTTTCAGTTTTTGCATGATTTTAGATTTTTGCATTATCTACATGTAGTTACATTTTGAGTTTGTTTTAGTGAGTCCTTGTTTTCCACTTTTCTGGAGTTTACTTTTATTATTTGTTGTGCTTTATTTCTCTTCTCTGTCAGGAAAACTGCAATCCTGCAGGATTCACATAGGTAAGAATAAAATTTTATTCTACATTTCTTCTGCTTTTGTTAGAGTGAAAATTGTGAACAATGCAGAAAAAGCTGTCCGGATGTTTTATCTATGTTCCATCCAATTTCCAAATGTTTATCTATATTTTTACAATCCTATGTACAGTCCCTTTGAAAACTATACAAATTGAACACAAAGCAAACACTTACATATAAAATAAACCTTAGATTATTACTGGTT